CATGATCTTTCAATTCCTATTATATAAGAAATAAATAAAGAATAAGTTTCTTTAAAAAAACCCTATCTAAAAACTAACATCCCAAAAAATACGTTGAACACTATTGCTAGTTGCTTTATCAGCTTTCGATGGATCAGTTTTACGTCGTAGTGGATCAAATAAAGCATTAACTGGATTTTTAAAATATAATATATGTATTAAACCACAATCATCACCAAACATCAAAGCTGATTCACTATTTCCATTCTAGAAAAATAAGTTTTTTTTTTTTTTTCAACAATAAAAAAATAAAATTTATTTTATTTACCGTACGACTTGGATAATAATCTAGACAAGTTGGTACATTTTTTACACCTAAAATAAATCAATAAGATTTTTAATATGAATTTTCTGTTGTTTTTCTCTGATTTACCAAATAAAGCAAATTCTTCAAGAAATGTTTCATTTGAAATAGTAAAAAAACGTAGATCCCGACTAGTTGATACAAGTGCTAATTTATGTGCATCAGTCATATAAATTGCATCTGTTACCCACATTCCAGCTCGACGACGATTTTGTCCAGTACCACTAACATTATTATTTGTTCCATTGTCAAGTTCATCAGTAGCTGAATATGTTTTTTCTAGATTTAAATTTGTTGTCCATAATCCTAAATAACCTTCTTTACTTATATTAATAAATTTAACTGGATTTTCTAGATGAAGTATTTTTGCTGTTAATTCTTGCTGAAAAAAAAAAACAAAGCAAAATTTATGAATTTTCTTAATTATTGTAAATGTAATACAAACTTTATTATGAAGTATATGACGAATTCTGGGTTCACTGTTAAATGGTGACATATGAGGAGTGTTTTCAAAATCTTCTTCTTGATAGAACTGAAGCATATAAGTACAAAAATCATTCCAATTAATTAGTCCTGTTTCTTTTGAATTCAACTAGATTGATGAAAATAAACATATATAAAATCGATTTTTTGAATGAAAGTTTTGTTTTATAATTACTTTATCAAATAATTTTTCTAATAATTGTCCATAGTGAGTAGGATCTAATATAGATTCAAATGCTTCAACAAATTCTTCTTTATTTAATGAAACTGAAAAAAATCAATGATATAAGCAGAGAGTAAATAAAATAAAATTTCTTCTTACTAAGTGTTTTATCATTTGTTTTAGTTGAAATATTGACACTCTCTGCTATTGTACGATTAAAACGTTGACGAAGAAGACGTAAATCTTCGACACGTAATTTTTTTTCAACATTTAATTCATCATCACTAAATATAAATATGAATACTTTTAACCATAATCTATTCTTCCTTTTCTATATCTTATAATTGAATTTTTTTTTAAATAGATATTCATCAAAAGAAAGCAAAAACATTTGCTATTGTTCTCACTTATCAATTTATCTGTCATAGTTGATAGAGAAAAGAACAAAACGAATATCGATGAAGTATCAAAATTTAAGTCAATACACACCAATGAATGCTATTTAATATTACACATATCAATTACCTATCAACTCCAAGCAGAAGGCCACCATCATCATCAGATGTATATATTCCATCGTCAATAGGTAAATTTAAATTGGTAGTTGTATCCATTACTTTTTATTATTTATTCTCTTCCTTTTTTTGTTTAGTCGTTGCGACAGACAATGTTTTTATTGTTGGTTAAATGTTAACAACATTATTAGTATCGATAAAATTGTTGTCGAGATCAAGAAAAACAATTTTTTTTCTATCGTCTTTCTTTTTTACATTTTTTTTAATGTTTCATTGTTGCTTGTCCTCATAGCATGTTGTCTTGTGCGCTCGTTTCTGTGGTTGTCACCTTGTGAACAACAGTCGTCACTTAGTCCATTTTTTTTTGGCAACAAAGGACAGAATTAAAAAAACTTTAGAATTGAAAAGAATAAAGAGAAAAAAATGTAAAGAAAAAAGTACATGTTTGTTATTAATACATATAAAAGAAGAACTAAACAAATCAAAAATCAATATATAAATAAATCGAACAAGTAACACAAACAGTTTATAAGTGAAGTTTAAACACTTCTTTTTTTCAATTATCGTTATGTTTCTTCATTGTACTTGTTCATAGAATAATAATCTTGACGAATAAAGTCATTGTATAAATAAAAGTACAGAGTAACATAATACAAGTAATAATTAATCAATAAATTTAAAAATAACAATGAGAATAAACAAAATCAAGTGTTTCAACTTTTATTACCATATATGATAAGGAAAGAAAAACAAAGTGAAACACATAGAATATAATAGATTTTAATCGAATTATCGTCAACATCACATGTAACATGTGATTGTACAGAATCAGAATGACAAATAACTTCAAAACTATTACATGAGAAATAAAAATTGGGTGAAAAGAACTGAGAATATTGATAATGTATATGTATTATTAAACTAACTCTCAGTTTTTGAAGCTAGTGTTCGTATCAGAATCAAAGAGAGGTTGATGTAATCTAAATAACTGGATAACGACAACAGTTATGAATCTGCAGTTTTCAGCAATCAAAACATCATAGCCCCGAACGTTGTTTTTTGTCTGATACAACGTACATAAGAAAAACCTATTTTGAATTTCATCATTTTCACAAAATATTTAAATAATTTACAAAAATGATATTTTGTTTCCGTGTAGTTTTGTTTTTGATATATGCTTTATGTAGAGGAACTTCAAATCTATAGTTCAAGACATAATTCACATGATTACTCTTCTCATTATCGCACAAGAGTATAGTGAAGAAATTAATAAATATAATACAAACAGACATCATCATTGTACTAATTATATATACATCTTTGAACAATGTCTAAAAACTCTACGACCTATTAAACAACGAAAACAATTATCTATTCACAGTCATCGATGCTACGTAGAATAATTCTAAGAATTTCTTCAATATCAAACGTTAAACACAAAAAAAACTTTTTTATATCAGATCTTCACTAACGATGATATTGTAATATTAATCTTTGTCAAACACAACTGTCATAAAATAGGTTGCTAGTCAAAAAATGAATGAGATTCATGCAAGAATCACCAATAACACAAAATAATATTCTTTTAAAGCTCATATTATATTCTAAAAATTTCTTTTAAATCTATGAAAAATGTTTAACTCTTCTGGATCTTGATGATGATTATTTTAAATGATAGGGATCTGGTTATAGTAATTGTATTATTTCTAGATCATACTGAATTAGTACACGGGATATTCAAGTTAATAAAACAGAACGAATGAGACATTCTTCCAAGTGTACATTACTTTTCTCTAGTATGACACTATCAATGATTTCGATGTGAAGAACACAGCAATAAGATGTCAAGTTTATACTGATATTTATTTGAAATTTTTGATGTTCTATGTTCGAGAATCACACAAATATATAGAAGTATCAATCACTTATCATATAATTTGTGTAATATATTTACGTCAGTCAATGTATTGGCAATCTATCGATTTCTTTTCTTTAAACATGACTTGAAACATTTCGAAACTGATTCTCTTGATTCAAACGATGCATTTGATGAGTGTCATTACTTGCTTTTCTACATGTTAATGAGCATTTTAAAAAGTGAAACATCCTGTCGAGTAACGCATTCTAAGCGAATAATTGTATTTTCAAAACAATGAATACATAACAAGAAAACTTTTGGATCATAAAAGCGAAAAAAAATTATTCTTTAAGTTAAGAATGACTTTCAACTATTGATTATTTTTGTTCTACTGTAACAATCGCTCATTACATCACCAAAGATATGAAGTTGACAAAGTCTCACAGATGTAACGGGTTGTTTCTATGCATATTGAATAACTTCAAGATCAGAGTAGAAAAAGAAATTTTGTCATACAAGAAAAAATTTACTCAGTTGATGAAAAAATTCATGAATATTTTTGACTATGAAGAATCATATAAAAACTTCAAAATATTTCATATTTTGACATCATTTAGATTTAAGTATTTGATAAAACAAAATCATAAAGTAAGATGCATGAAAAAGATTACTTCGAATTCATTTGATTACTTGTAATCAATATTTTAAACATAAAATTAATTATTATAAGAAACATAGAACTATATAAGCAATATAATAACTAGCATAGTTATGTTCTTTTCTGTTTTAACTTTTTTTTTTTGCCCAAAAAAGAACCTGTCTTATAGACTTGGTGTATATTACTCGTTAATTATAAAAAAAAGTTTTTTCTTAATTAGGCTTTTTCTTTAGTACATTGAGATTATCACGGACTTCAAAGTGCATTTCTTCAGACAAAAATCTCAAAATCTGATTTGTTTTGACAGTTTCGTATGTTTTTTTTTGTTATATGTATTAAAATTTGTTTGTCATAATAAATTAATTGTTTATTATAATTTTTCATTTCTATTTCTATTGATGCAGCTTAATATGAAATAATGCCTAGAAATTTGTGCAATGTTTATTATTTCTATCAAATTGTTATTATATTATTAATCCTTTCATTGAATAAATCCGCTTGAAAATGACATGAATGCAACATTCTAGCAGTCCAAATGTCAAATTATTTTTATAATCTTCTTTTTTCGTACTTTATTAGAATCAATTGATGAAATGCTTTTTTATAAACAAAAATTGATCTGTCATCTTTTCTTTTAATAAGTCAACTGAAAAATAAAATAAATAGAAGAAAGAAGTTTACAGATATTATATCTTCTCTAAGTTATGTTCATTTATGTTTAATTCTATATTATTTTTACATTGAATAGATTCATCATTTTTTTCTTTCCGGTCTATTAAAATAACACTAATATAAATGAGTGTTGTTAATAGAGAGCACAATTTCCTGTCCTCTCATCGTCAAAGGTGTAGAGTTTTGCAAATAAAGAAAAGTTATCAACATCATTTTCTATCTAAAAACAGTCGAATAGAACATACTAAACGATTTTTTCTAGATTTAAGGATATCATTATCCAACATTTTTTGATTCAACAACAAAACATGTCTACGGATGCCATATTAATTTCATCTTTTACATTTGCAACAATGCAAATCAATCGACATTTAGCATTATTCGTGCTTCTGTTTGGAACTGTTGGCAATCTTCTCAATATTTGGGTATTGAGCGAACGTTCGTTAAGCCATAATCCATGTTCAACTTATCTCTGGTGGTCTTCTCTTTCCAGTGTCATTTTTATTTGGTCAGGAATATTAACTCGCGTACTTCAAGGGTATGTAACATATCATTTGTTAAAGCATCCAAATGAAAAGAACCTGTGATATTGTCACAAATAATGATTATCTTCATTATTAATGATTTGTTTATAAAAGCCTGCAATCAAATTTAACAGTCAATTTTGCTATTCATGAGCAATTTTTTGTTAATTTTTAGATACAGCTTCAATTGGCCAAATGAAAATCAACCTCTATGTAAAATTCGACTTTTTATTTTAATAGTATGTTTTTCTGTGTCTGCATGGAGTCTTGTCGGTGCCAGCATTGATCGATATCTACGCAGTAGTGTTATAGTCAAATTTCGAAATTTAAGCACTGTTCAAACAGCAAGACAACTTTTGATCATTATTATTACTGTATCTGTTCTAATATTTCTTGAAGTTTTCTATTGTTATAACGCAAGTGTGCCTAATGTTCCTGTAGCTTGTTATTCTCAAAGTCTATCATGTCGATTATACAATGATTGGATGCTTATTTTGATCTGTACTGTTATACCAAGTTTTTTTATGGCTGTTTTTGGTTCATTGACAGTTCGCAATATTCGAACACGAATTGTTCAACCAGCAGCGCATGTAGAACTTCCACATAATACAACGTATCAAAATTTACGATTGCGACTAAATGATCGTAATATTAGTCATATGTTACTAATTCAGGTTAGTTTCAAATTTCTTCTTTGTGTTGAACAATCTATTTTTATTGTTTTCAAACAATAGTTGTCAGACTAAATACTTGATTAGACCAGTAATACTCAATAGTTAGAATAGTTGATATTTTGGAATGTTTCATTTCGATCTATAATATATATATATATATATACATGTATGTTTGAATGAATATATAGGTTTCAGTGGTTCTTCTTATGAACTTACCAGTTACAATTCAACGTCTGTACGCCAGTTTAACAGCAAACTTACAGAAAACTACTTTTCGTGTAGCTACTGAAAATTTAATTTACTCTCTGGTTGTTTTAGTTTCTTTTTCTTATTCAATATCATTTTATTTATACATCCTGACTGGTTCAATGTATCGTGCAGCACTAAGGCGTGTTGTTCGTCGTTTATTACGTCGCATTAGACTGTTGCATTAGAATTCGAAGAATATTTGGATGTGGATTCATTAATTAAAATCTATATGTGTTTGTCTGTGTTAATTATACTAGTATTTTCGTTCACAAACTTCAATGTATTACAATATAAATAATACAGATGAAAATACACGCATTTAAATATTCTCTTTCGTACATTTCTTTTTGAAAGATCAAACCTTTTTGTGAGAAACAAATACTTTTCTTAATGTCGACTCGCCAAATAAAGTACGGTCATACATAATAAATAGAGACGTCCATAACTATGATCCTGATTCGTGATCAAGTGGCAGATTTCTGCATATCAGTCAAAAAAAAAACTCGATGTTAAGCATAAAGATGATGATGAAAATTGTAATTACACGAAAGAGAGACAAAATTAATGACGCAGATGGATAGAAATTGTCAAGTGGTGATTATGAAAGTGAAAGAGAAAACTAATGATCATCATAATAATACTAAAGTTAAGATTTCTACTGAATAATTTTGTTCTCTTTATATCATATATTTCTTTTTGTTGATTGAAATTGTAATAAAAATATAAAATAAGAACATGATAAAAAATTTCGATTTATCATATTTTTAATTGAAATAAGAGAGCAAGGTATCAGTGATAGATTTTGGACTTTGGGACAGGAGTCGTCTATAGCTATAAATAATGCTTTGAAGTCTATTAAAGGTCATATCCGGTCATTTTTGGGCGTTTTTCACTGAGAAAAATCGAAAAATATTCCAGAAGAGAGAAGCGATCGTCTCTTTTAAAGTCGTCACTACGAGATATTTGATTGTTGTATTTTTCATTTATTTGTTTAAATGATATGTTTTGTAGAGCGACTCGTATCGCATCGAATGGTATGTAGGAAATTGCTTTTTTTTTATCGAGTTTTTATCTTCTGACAAATCATACATCAACTAAAGGATATGATAACAATTTTAGGTGATGTAATCAAATATTAGAACTCAGTATGTGTCTAAATCAACCTTATCAAATTTCGTTTAAAGTTATTTCAATTAAGTTTTGTCTCGTTTTCAATCATGAATGTCTGACAATATTTATCATAGTTTTCTTCGTACTTAAGACCTTAGTTCTTTTTACAAGTTCAGTAATTTTTGGTTTTTATGATGATTTATATTCTTCGACACTGCTTTCGAGGACAAAGGTAATCAGTCGTGCATATGTCTCAGAAATTGCGTGCCACCGAGTTCTATAAGCATTTCAATAAATTGTCTTCTAAATTGATGTGCGTCTAGATCAAAGCGACCTCTTCTCAATGTCTAATTAGGTCACTTTTTCGATTTCGAAGAACATAAAGGTATATGAGCTTTGTAATAAATATTTGTTGAGTGAAACAGTTACTATCTATCAAGGATATATTCGTCATATTCTATCATTTGATATAGATAGATCTATCGAAAATGACAAAAACGTTTTTCACTTTCAGACCTCTCTAAGAGGTACGAGATTGAACTGTTACAAAGACTAGCTTTATTTTATCTTTTTCCTTATGAATTTAGATTCTGAGTGATCAAGTGTGATTAGAATATAAAGCTCTATTATATTCAACATATGCACTGTCTGTGATGAAAATTAAAAATTCTGCATATTTTTGCACCCTCTCCTAGGGTCTAAAAGCAACACAGTGCACATCGATTCAGAGGACAATCATTTAGTATATTGGTAGAGCTTCGTAGCACACAGTTTCTGAGAAACTTGCACGATTGGTCACCTTTTCCCTTAGGAGCAACATAGAAGAATTTAAAACATTAGAATAACTAAAAATTAGAGAACCTAGTTAAAATACTAAGTCTTTGAGTACAAAGAAAGCTATTATGAGTATTATTAGGTATACACGATTTGAAGACGGGACAAAACTTTTTTGAAATAATTTTGAACAAATTTCTAAATGGATAGGTTTGTTGGCATACTAAGTTTTAATATTTGATTATATCATCCAGGATTGTTATTGTATCCTTTAAGTATTGTCCATTTCAGAGTTAAATGGCCGTGGGAATTTTTTGAATAACTTTTGATAGGAATGAGATAGAGATCTGCGATTTTCACCGTTGAATAGAGCAGATGAAGACGCATCGAGTTATATATAGAAAGATTTTTCTAGCTACTTTTCTGTAGGTTTTACATAAAACTTCAAGAAAAACAGCATGCTCCTCATGGTCCTGATTTTCAGGAGTGCGGTAGAGTCACCAAAGGAAGGGCTACAAAACTATATCAAGACTCTGTTCCTAACTACTACCAGTATGATATCCAAACCATTGGTACACAATTTACCATCTCATTTTTTTCAACAAAATAATCGAAGAATGTAAATTTTTGTAGTATTTTGATAGAAAAGTCACTTTTTTCACGTAGAAGAAAAAGCAATTCTTTGAAAACGTTTGACTAAACCTTTAGGAAAGTAGTTAGAACAATCTTTCTATATATAATTCGATACGTCTTTATCTGCTCTTTCCAACGGTGAAAACCGCAGATCTCTATCTCGTTCCTACCAAAAGCTATGCAAAAAATGCCCTCGACCATTTAACTCTGAAATGGACAATAGTATATGACTTCCCAAAACGTAAAAACTTGATGAAAAAGTAATTTTCTTATATATTATTCGATGAGACACGAGTTATTCTACAAAATGGTATAAGAATCTTTTTAATAAAGAAGAATATTCATCCTATCCGGCAAGGTCCTTTTTATTTTATCAAGCATAAAATCTTTATGAATGATGATAGTATTTTATCAATTCATTAAGATGAACTTCCAGTGAAATATGACACAATAACAATCAACATTCATTGGATAATTTGCATTTTTGGTTTTGTTACTACACAGTGCTTTATTATTTTTCTATTAACTATACTGCAAACATATAATAAAAAAACAAACAATAACTAGACATCTCCACATTAATATAGAGTTCATCAGTTATTATATATGTTCATTTACAAAATAGTTCTAAAATAGTCTTTTTTTTCTTTTAACAATTATACAAGTTCGATTTAAACAATGGTTTCATATACTCGTGTATTTAATTGTTCGACAAGTAACAACGGCGTATTAGTTTCGTCCATCGGTGAAAAAGAAACAATTTCGAGTTTAGGTGATTTTTCTGGTTCAGGAGTATACGTTACTGGTAGCACTAAGAATGATGGTCTAGTTTTCTTCATTTTATTTGTATCATCTGATGGTATAGATAATGATTTCAATGATATTTCTGTTTCCAATTGTCGAATACGTTTTTGTAATAGTTCAACACGTTTTTCTAGTATTTTTTCACGTTCAGTATTGTTGTGATTATGTTTATCATTGGCAAGTATCATACGTTTATAATCCTTAAACTTTTTATAAAGGATTAAAATGAAAAAAAATAAAAAATAATTTTAATTTCTTACTTGGCGATTTTTATTTACATTGTTAATCTGTTTTGATCGAGTAACAAAACGTGAATATACACTTTCACAAATAAGAATAATAGTAGCTATTATAGTACCACCGAATAGAAGTAAAAAGGCCGACGTAAAATTCCTTAGCTTAAATTTAAAGTAGGCACAAATTAAAAATAAATAATAAAAAGCAAACTATTACATCTAACTCCTGACTACTTCTTTGTGAATGTTGATCTACACTGGATTTACAAGCACCTAACAATAAAATAACGAGTATTGTGTATTTGATACTTTTAATTAAAAAAAAATGATTTCATACCAGTAAACCAAAATCGTCGAAGACGTTCAATTTCACCAGAATGATGCATTTCAATAATTTCTTTATTAATCATATCTTTAAATTTTGATTGTTTTGGAAATCCAATACCATAACCAGTCATTGCATACCAATTTCCGACAACACGTAATCTACATTTATCATCTTGCCCACTGAAATAATCAAGTACAACTGCATCATATAAAAATGCATGTAATTCTCTACAGTAATAAACCAAAAAAAAAAAAAAAGAAAATTAAAATAAAAAAAAATTTTTTTATTCGATATTTTTACTGAGATTTTACAGCTTTGATTCCTTCAGAAACATTTCTTTTCATAAATTGTTTCATATATGTATAAATTTGTTTATGATTAGTTTTCACGACTTCATCAGTGCTCTTAAAGAAAAAACAACAATAACGAATTTGACTATAAACAAATATTCATTTTTATATTGTCAACAGAATACTATGTAGTGTCGCGTAGAAAATATAATGGTGTAACTAGATATGGGCAAGATGGTCTCGCTTATGTTTAGACGTAACCATGAAAAAATATTGAAGAGGAAGCTTAGCCTTCATGATCATATGTCTAGATGAGACAAAGGTCCGTCTGATCTAGGATCTATCGGATTGTTCTCGAACCTGAATTCAGAACTTTTGGATCCGATGGGTTCTAGCCTTTTTCAAAAAGAACTCAGCTGTTTGTACCTGAGCTCAGAAACTCATACAGAGATTGATACATCACTGATAGAAAGTCATCAGAATGCGACAACTTTAAAACAAAGTTTCTATGAAATAAAGTCTCACGAGTAACCACTGTCACATCGCTTTTTGTTAGAAATTATTGCTATTCTTTCAGTCTTGAACAACAGTGAAAAGAGTATGTCTAAGTTTGGTTTTGTGGTCATTGCGGGTTGA